TGCTAAAATACTTAACGCTAAACGCATTTCGAAGCACGAAACCATACATCTTACGCCCAAATTTGAAATACTGCAGTAATCGATAATTGACAACAATTAAGTCTAATAACGGTTCGAATAGCAATTTAGTCGGAAGGAATATTTATATTTCCGTAATGTATATTAATAGCGAGAAAAATGTGGAAATCACAAGGTGTTAAAAAATTTCAATCGATATTTTTATATGTAGGAAATCCTGAAAGCTCGGTCAAGATGGCGGGAATATAAACCGGCCAAATCAAGTGAAACGGGAATATGTGGAGCGCCAACGCTAATGACCCGACCTCAATTCGGTCGGGTTATACTTCTGATCAGACAGATGTATGGATTCTCATTTCGTATTGGAAAACTATTAAGTTTTGATAATCGACATTACATCACAACATACACTAAGTTATTATCTTCAACTACTCACCGATTTTGTTGATTTTAAACTCTTTTTTACCACTTTGCACTTAATTTTTAGCACAAGAACTCACACGCCCTTCTGTGTGTAACAACATCACGAGCACACTGCTCCCCCTGGCGTGAAATTAGTCAAACGTCACTTGACTCTACATTCATGTCAAATTAATTGAAATTTCCCTCGCTATTAATAAACTTTACGGATAATTAACATACTTTTAGTTTACTTATCAATAAAATAAACACCAGACTTACAATAACAACTAAATACAATAAAAACTATAATAATAATGGTATCGTTTCGCTATAATAACAGTTGTAAGTTTGGACTGAAGTATTGATTTTTGTCGGCATCTGAATCATCGTACAACTACGAGAGGCGATTTCGCGCATTTCGTGAGCCAAGCTGACTCATCTATATATTTGTTCTATTATTTCTTGAGCTAGGGCAATGTTTCAGAATATAATTGCGATAAATGGAATTGGTTTGCGTTATGAGTTATACTTTGCTAATAATTTAAACTTTAAAAATCGATGTTTTCCAACCTACGGGGTATAATATGACAGTATTACACCCTATACACTTAAATATCCTTTATCTTTAGGACCACAATTATAAAGCAACTATTAATCAATTATAATTATCATTATTAATAATAATAGCTTTTTAATTCCGATACTTAAACACATTTATATTAACACAAATAGATTTACAATATAAAAACAATTAATTAGACATAATGAACGAGTGCGCATTTTTGAGAACACTGGATATATTTTGTAATTGGAAAGCACATAAGTATTGAAAGATTACAGAGCAAAGTAGACAGCTTCGTTTATGTGTTAAAACGAGCAGGTTAGGGAATCTGTTAACCATGATACGGTATTAACTGCATGATGCATAATATGTTTCTATCTATATTTAGATATGGAATTATAGTTCGGGTAAATTCAGTCGAAGTACTAAATATGGTATTTGAGGCTCGAAAAAAATGTATTAGAGCAATTTGTGGAGCAAACTATCTTGATCCTACCTATGTTTAAGAAGCTCAAATTCAAATTTTATCTCTTCCCTGTATGTATATTTTAGAAATGTCCTTATTAGTTCACAAAAACATAAATATTTTTAAGTCAACGGGAATATACATCTGTCGAAGTAGACATGGGGAGAAATTGGCTGTGCCAAAAATTAATCTGGAATTGTTTAGGAAAAATACCTTTTGTATGGCAATCAAGGTTTATAATAATTTACCAAAAACATTAAAAGATGTTCCTACTAGAGTTTTTAAAAATCGACTTCATGTAAGTACTACTTTTGAAAATAACTTATTCTGCTCTCACCTACACCTCACCGTGTAGTATTATTCTATTAATGAGTAATTCCGTGAAATATTATAATCAATATAAATTGATAACGTATTAATATGTTTTAATAATGTGATATTTTATCTTAATATATAATTACTCATAATGTATATAACTACTATTGTAATTTGCACGCCATTATGTGATGTAGAATAAGCGAACTTTAGATTGTACCACTACAACATTTTTATACCATATTCTTGCAAGTAAATTATAATTATTATTTATATCGTCTCATTATTTTAAGGTATCTGGGTGCCCTTTGGCATAGGCCTCCTTCAAATCCCGCCATTCCTCTCTGCACTGTGCCAGTCTCTGCCATGTATCAGCTGTTTCCTTAATCCGGTCTATCCTCTTTCTAAATTGTCTTCCTCTTTTGCGTTTATTGTACCTTGGGCACCAGTTTAGTACTATCTTCCTCAACTTTTCTGATTCTTTTACCATGTGGCCCGCCCATCCACTTAAGTGTATTAATTCATTGTGACACCATAGGTCAGAATATGATAAACGCAATTTCATTACTTTACAGGACAAGCAATTAAATTATAAAGAAATCTTGAAGGCTCTATTAAAATATGAAACACTCGATATATGAATGAATGTACTTATCATTGTCTGATCTATGACCACAGATTTAAGTTTACTATCTACTAAGTATATATCATTATTATTATTTTATACATGGACTAACCATTTGGTGTTCTATTAAAGAAGGCATTATCTTCATTTTGGAGACTAGGTATACAATGAAATTATTCTTATTTATGTAAATTGCATATAATATATATATATATATATATATACTGCTCAAAACAATTAGCGGAACAAGATTTTTCTCCTTTCTATTGCTTAAACTAAAATTAGATTTAAATTAACTTGTACGCTATTTTTTACCTTGTTAATTTGTTAATTACTACAATTAATAAAAAAATTCAATTTGTATTTTTTTAATTAAAAACAAATTAAAATGTGCATTGTAGACGAAAAACAAAGTGACGTCTTTGAATTTTCATTACTTTCTAATCACAGAAAACACATATTAAGTAGTTTTTTTCAATCTTTTGAGTATTAATAGAAATTTAAGTGAGCCTTTTGAGTATTGTTATTCATTGAAGCGAGTGAGTTTAGGTCATATTGCCAGATCTGACTGAATTGCATGTCTCCCGAGCTATCGCTTTGCTTGAAGAGGGTCGAACTATGCGTTATCTAGGAAATGATCTAGGAGTAGCCGCTTCTGTTATCTACAGACTTTGGAAGCGATACCGTGAGACGGGAGAATACTCACGAAGGCGTGGTCAAGGTCGAAAGAGAAAAACTACACGTTTGCAAGATCGCTACATCGTCAACTGTGCTTTACGTAACCGCACCACAACTGCAAGAGATCTACAAAATACACTAAGGACGGCTACTGGTGTAGAAATTTCCGACCAGACGGTAAGAAATAGGTTGTTGAAAGCCAATTTTAGATCACGCCGACCAGTTCGGGCTGTGCAGTGTGCGTCTAACAATTCAACATAGACAAGCTCGCCGACAGTTCGCGCAAAATCACGCTAATTGGCAACTTCGACATTGGAGGCCAGTGCTTTTTACTGACGAATCACGATTCCGTCTAACACGTCGTCTCCGTGTTTACAGACGCCCAGGCGAGCGATACAGTGCAGCAGCAGTCCAGGAATATGACAAATTTGGATGTGGCTCTGTGATGGTTTGGGGCGGAATTAGTTTGGACGAGCGCACAGATCTCGTCGTTGTTCCCGGGCGCTTGTGTGCTCAAACTTACATTGAAAATGTGCTCGAAGATCATGTTTGGCCCGCAGCATATGGTATGGGCCCAGATTTTCTTTTAATGCAAGATAATGCCAGGCCGCACACTGCAGCCATCACGTCAGATTACTTACGACAGCAGGAAATCCGTGTAATGGAGTGGCCTTCCATGAGCCCTGACCTAAATCCAATTGAACACATTTGGGACTTGCTTGACAGGCGCATCCGGAAGCGTCCGATTGCACCTCAAACACTGCAGCAGCTCACTGAAGCGTTGATTGAAGAATGGGAGCGAATTCCACAAGAAGATATTCGGAGGATCATACGAAGCATGCCGCGTCGTTGTCAAGCCGTGATTAGGGCTCATGGAGGCCACACGCGTTACTGAAAGTCACTAAAGACGAATATTCAAACGATATAAGAATATTTCTTTGATGGACCTTTTTTATCACCAATAAGTTTTTCGTCTACAATGCACATTTTAATTTTTTTTTAATAAAAAAAATACAAATTGATTTTTTTTATTAATTGTAGTAATTAACAAATTAACAAGGTAAAAAATAGCGTACAAGTTAATTTAAATCTAATTTTAGTTTAAGCAATAGAAAGGAGAAAAATCTTGTTCCGCTAATTGTTTTGAGCAGTATATATATCAGTATTGTATATGTCAAAATCGGTTAATACATTAGTTTTAATATATATACCTACTTTACGTAGTAAAGTTCTGTGATTCACATTATCTAGTTTTCCTGTTCCACCATTAATGAATAATTGTATTAATACGAATAATACACACGACCAGACCTCAATTTATTATCGAGACTCATAATAATTATTATTATTATGTAAGACGAGGCAAACGGATAGCAGGCTCACCTGACACTAAGTGATAAGTGCCCATGGACACTCACATTGCCAGAAGGCTCGTAAGTGCGAACCAACGATTACCTTATATGGTCATATGATGCAACACTATCCAAAGCGCGCGGTTTTTTTGATCGAAAAAAACTAGTTATTATGTTTGATTGTATATATGAATTTTATTTTAAATACTTAAGACTAGTTACCACGTAACAATACACTCAATATTGGCATCCAAGGTTGCCTCAGCGCTATGGATACAGAGCAGCAACCCACTGGAATATGCCCGAACCATTTTAATTTAGGGTCCTTCAAAGAGCGTACCAATTCTTAAAAGGCCGGAAACGCAATTCCCTCTGGAAATTTAAGTGTCCACAGACGGTATCACTTAACTAAATTATCTAATATATTTAAATTATTTTACAAACAAATCTGAGCGAAGTTGGTTTTTAATATGGCAATATTTTTGTCTATAGACATAGATGATGCGAGTCCAAAGACTTTGACAGCTGCTCTATACTCTTTAATACGACAATGTCATATCTAAATTTACAAAATTAATCCAAATGGCGATGAAGGCGGCGTGTATTATTCTTACATCAATAGTACTCGTGGCTATAATGGCTGTATGTGTCATGGTCAAGTTTGCCACAGAAATAACAGTCGAGGAGCGAAAACGTGATTACTATCCCGGCTCCGGCGTTTATCACGTCGCGAAATCTATAGCTGTGATCGCATTAAACGAAAACAATTCCATTGCCGTCTCCGAAAGGTTCCCCTACGTGGCTGCGATAGCCAGAAACTCCTCCTCCACGTGGTCCTTCGCCTGTTTCGCAAGTGTTGTACTCGTCAAATGGGTGGTAACGTCCGCGCACTGTCGGCAAAAAGGCGCGACCCACAGAGTGCTTTTGCTGCACGATTTCGCGCGGAATGTCAGCACGTCCTACCCAATACTCTACTGGCGTATTCATGAGAAATACAATCCGAACAGCACGACACCATCCAACGATATTGCGGTGGCTAAATTTAATATAGACTATCCTTTACGATCTTCCACGTTCGATGATCGGCCTGTGACAGATGTCGAAGCGAGTATTTGGAAAACTGTGGCGACAATGGACCGCCGCGTGTATTTGATAAATGACTTTGACAGGTTCCCGCTTAAATTGGCAAGCGGGAACAGATGTTATGAAACCTATGGTGTACAGCTGGATGAGAGTTTAATCTGTGTTGATATGTCGGACTATGAGGACTGCTTCATACATGAGTTTGGGCCGTTGTATTATGAAGATAAATTGGTTGGTGTCTTGGCGCTTCAGCCGAAGGACTGCGAGGTGAAGTTAGCCGTGTTCACGAATGTGTCGTATTACACGACGTGGGTGCTGAAGTTGACGCAGACTACGTTTTATGGGTGAAATAAAGGGTTTTCTTAAATATTTTTTTATTTCTAAAGGCAAGCCCTTAATTAGTTTGAGTGAGTCTTGACTGTTGCCGTTCAGTTGCCCGCCTTCCAGTCTTCTATAGATCTGCATTCTCGAGAATGCTTCCACACAACCTGATTCCGTCATCCCCTTTCAAACAACGCTGATCTAGAAGCATGCTGGAATTTCACCCGTTCGTTGTCGACATCCCCAGGTGCCGTGTTTACAACGATTTAGTTCGTTGTTCCTTTTCAAAAAAGCAAAGGAGAGAAACTCCTTGCCTGGAGATAGGCAATAAATCCCCTAGTTTTAAATATATTGTATATCAAATAATAATAGACCACATCTCACTTAACATCAGGAGGGATTGTGGCCAAACATCTGTTCAGTTCTGTAGGTATATAAGTAAAGTGTGTTAGAATCTAGAATTTCATATTTATTAATCTCTGAGACTTGGAAAAGGAAGATAAGTTAGGAATTTAATTGTCAATAAAATATTAAAAGTTTCGAAAATTAATACAAATTATAAATTTATTTTTTAAATTTATTTCTTTTATAATAAAAACACGAGGCATTTAAATTTACAATTCGACATTTGAGATTGCAATAAATTATTTTGCATAAAATATAAAATACTAATATTGCATAAATTCTCTTTATACATATAATCTCATTCGGTAATATGAGGGGTATAAAAGCAAAGGCGCTTCAGTCCAACATAACTTTTTTTTATCTGGTCATACCAAATTGTAGCCCTCGAAAGCAGCGACAATAACTTAAAAACCATTAAGTGCAAATCCGCCTTAATTCGATTAAAATTCTCTTCGAAAAAAGCGTTTAAATGCAAAACGGCTTAAATCCAAAATTAGTTAGAACAATTCTATTTATGAAATGAATGAATGAATTACAGACTTTTATTGGCATATTTTATTTACATACTTCTTTAAGAAAATTAAAAAATTATATTAAAGCATTATTCTCCTAACAAAACAATGCTTTAAAATAATTTTTTAATTATTAAAGTACAATGTGTCCCGACCAAGGAGGTTTCAATTCAAGTACGCATAATCTGTGGTGAGCGCGCTGCGCGCGCAACGCGCTGTTTCCGAGCCAATAGACCAATAACAGACTTTTTCCATTTTGGCGCTATTGCGTACATTCGAATTTGAGTAATATTTTGTTGGTTAAAAGTTTAGTAGCAAAAATAGCAAGCAACACCGACGATACCGATGAAAATTGACATTCTAGAAACAGCTACGAAACTGACGAATAGTCTTTGGCTAGAAAAATAAAAAAAAGTGTACGACAAATGTTACCAAGACTTTATGACTTGGAAACCTATAGCCATGAGATTAAATAAAATAGTATATGCAACTGCATATAATTAGGTATTAAAACACTCGTGTAATCTTATTATGAAAAACATCTCAGGTTTTAATACTCTCTATTATATGACAGTTGCATAAACTACTATTACGAAATTTTAATTTTAAAAATAGAATTTCTATAAGTTAATTCGCCCTTCTTACTCTATCTCTCAATCGGTCTCAATCGCTCTCTCCCTTTTCTTCGACAAAAACGCTGCACATCTTCGTGACGCTAATATTATTATTAATGCGTTTCATCCGTAAAAAATTACCCTCATGCGTTAAAGAAATTTCACTTCAAAAAAAACTTCAGCCACTGAGGCCTTCCGTCCGTCATTAAAACTGGTCGAGAATCCCTTTAGGTCGGAGGAGCAGCAGCAGTGTTGGCCTAGCGGTTTAAGCGTGTTATGAGGCGTTTATTGTCGACAATTTTTAAATGTAATCTCTCTTGAAGGATCTTAACTTGGGCTATTTTGGTGAGCGTAGCTCTACCGGATTTTCGGCACGACTAGCGCAAGGGCGTCTCCTGCGAGACTCGGACCTACGGCTGGAAGGTCGCAGGGTGGTCAATCGCCTGAAGGGCACTGGAAGAACACACTGGAGTGAGCGAGTACGAAGTAAGAGACTTTGCTTTTACCGGTGAAGGTGGTTTTTTACCCTAATCTCATTTTGCCAGGCTTAGATCGAGAAGTTGTAGGTATATATACTTAGCGAGAAATACTTTGATAGCGAATAGAAGATTGTAAGTAGGTATTCATACAAGATTTGAATTTTTCATATTATTAGGTCTGGGACGTCTGATTTCTGATCTGAGATTTCTGTGTCTGTTTCATGTGTCAATCTAAAAGGCAAGTAGGTGCTCGGCCTGTGCCTGGCGCACGCCGTTGTTTTGGATCAAATGCACGATTCCTCGCGATGTTTTCCTTCGTACCAGCGATTGTTAAATGCGCATTAAAATGTGCACAGCTGGGGCTCTACGCCAACAGGGATGAGAGTCGCACGCTGAAGCCACTAGGCCAACACTGCTCTTTGAATAGTTTTAGACGAGAATAAAAATAATCGTCTTAAATATGACTGTTAGTGATTTGTCTGTTGCAACACAGAGGGTTGGCGATCATAAATAATTTTTATGACACATGACGCCACGAACCTTTTAACCGATTGCTCTGGGGGAGATGTCAATTTATTAAAAGTTTGTGCAGATAACAATTGTTTTATATTTTTTATAACTAACTGTACCCTCACGTATTCATTCGATAGTACGATGTTCTATACCCTAAAAACTTATAAATATACTTTTTAGTAGATATGAATGTCTTTTATAAAACTGTAGAACATTGCTCTATGGTCAACAGTTGCCGCAGCATATAGGAATCTTTATTTGAAAGTTTCACACTTTCAGGCTCATTCTTTGCGGACATAATAAACACTTAATATCCAGAGCTTAATATAGTCGGTAGTGGGCTGATCAAATTAAAAAAAGCATTGTTAAGTGCATATCGTAAAATAATAAACGGCTCAAATAGAAGCCTTTCCTCCAACTTTGATTTTGTTCCCTATGGACTCTTGGGCCCTGGGGTTCAATTAATTAAGCGCCTGGTAGATGACCTTAGAGCTGGTGCTTTCAACGAATAAGTATCGCAATACAGCGTGGAAATGCCAGCGTTAAAGGTACACAGGGACTATTTTTAAATTTGTTTTAATTTTAAATTTATTATTTTTAAATTATTATTAGTAACAACGCCGTTATACAAATATTGTGGTTATCTTGTCAATCCGAAACCTTTAGACAAGTTCTTTAAATTACCGAATCGACGGAATGAACATTAAATGTTAGACATTAAGCATTTTTAAATAATTGTAAATAGACAAATACTACAAATCCTAGACAATGAACCATGAATTGGTCCACCCGTTCTGGAGTTATAACTTCTCTTATATATTAAGATCTGTTATGTCTTAGGGAAACCACCCCCGGCAATAAAACTTCAACCCCAAATGAATAGAGAACACTGGATGACAATTGTCATATTAATGGTTCGCATTTCATAACTGTAAGTGCTTTTGTTTATGGACAGCGGCGCCTATACACCCTTACGTAATCCCTACTTATCAAATTAAGTACCTAATACAGTCCTTAAGTATTGACAAAGGGAATTTTGGTTTTGCAGGTTTTTATTTTAGCAAGTTTAACAAGAGTATTATAAAATATAAAGGGTCGATAGAAGTCGTTTTTGATTGTCTTTAAATAAATATGAAATGTCACAAAAATATATTTTTTTTAAAGAATATATCGGTTTGGCCTGGTCCATCCGGAAGAAACCACAGGCCACTTGAGAGGTACTGTCATGGATAAGTCAGGGGAAGAGAATAATGAAATAATAATAATTATAGTAAAAATTAACAATGTTTCAATTAAATCTACCGCATTGACCATGGAGAGTGTTTACAGGAGTTGTTCGGATTACCTGCGACTGAATTTCATCACCAGACGTCAAGACAGAATGCAAAATACCACCTTCTCGACGTCCGTTGTTTCAGAACTAAGCGTTTCTCCAGGCAGTTTTTGCTGCGCACCACCACCATGTAGAACCAGCACCCCACTGAAGTATTTCCTAACCAATTCGACTAAGGGTCCTTCAAAGAGGATACCAATTCTAGGCAACGCACTCGCGAGCTCTCTTGCATTGACATTGGGCGGAATCACATTTGTTACATTGAAATAATAAGGATTTTTCCTTACTTTAGGGTTTACGAAACAAAAAATTTGTTTCGTAAACCCCGGACTTCCATTTCAAGATCATAATTAGCCAAATATGTCCCGCCATTCTCGAGTTTCAGCGATTTAAAATTAACAAGAATTCATTCTATGTGAGGTTATGTAATAAAAGAACACGATTTTTATTTTATTAGACTGGAAATGACAGCAATCAGCATTAAAGGTAACTTCTATCAGGCACTTCTCATTTGAATTCGTCGCGATTATGACAGGTTAAACAGTACTTATCCGGAGCTGGATTTGGTAGTGGGCTGATCAATTTAAAAAAAAAGCATTTTAATTGGATTTAAAAAAAAATAACATTTATGTTAACCTAAATTGTCATACATTTTAGATAAAAGAGTTTTTAACATATACCGTAGATAGAGTATTATGTATGATGTGGTAAACTTCAATAAATGAATAAATAAATACCAAGGGACCAAACTTTTTAAATTTGTTTCAATTTTCTATTTATTATGATTACTATGTAGGTTAGGAATATCGTAAATACTGTATATTTGTGTTGGAAATGTTGTAAGCACATTCAAAAACTATCAAATGTATAAAAATAATTACAATTAATAAATAGATAATTAATAATCAAATGAATGCACAGCTGCGCATTTGAACCTAATTTATTTGAACAATTAGCTAATTAAAGATTTAAGTTAGCGCCTGGTAGAAAGTACCGGTATCCTTTCTTTCTTTCATTTTCTATTAATTATTATTACTATGTAGGTTAACATTATTGTAAATACTGTATATTTGTGTTGGAAATATTGTAAACATGTTCGGAAAAAAGAAAATATCTATCTGGCTTCATCGTCCCCTCGTACATCTATCAAACGATATTCTCGTTTCCCCGT